AGTGTGCATATTGACATGAGGCTAACACGATAGCGTGGTGCCTCTGATGTCATAAAGTAGGTTCCAGAATGTGTTCTTTTTCATATTAATCAAAATGTATAAAGTGAAGCATTTATTCTAATAAACTTCGTTCTCATCATTAAGTCGCCCTAATAGAATTACTATGCACTATAGAAACCCTTTATTATTCAATCCACCTAACTTCTAGTAGCGGTTGGAACTACACTGCGCATTCATTGTGCGTCGCTCTCCCAAACCAACCGTTACAATATCATGTTTGCAACGTTATTTCATACTTTATAGCCTGTCGTATTATTATTGTAAATCTATATTAAAAAAAATATTTGTTACACGAGAATCAGAGTAAATTTTGGTTACATATCAATTTCCCGATGGTTATTCCCCGAAAGGCCATTCAACCGACATCACAAAATTATAACTCAACTAAAAGAATATCCTGTGTGATATAGGTTAGATGGCCTGTCGGGGAATCAGCAGGTTGAGCAATATCCGTAAATTTTTCACGAAAAATGTATCCCGTGCCGAAATTTATCCGAAACTTGCAAAAACCTTAATTTTGATTTCCATCAACAAAGACTCCCTATAGACGGTGGGATATTCTATAGAATAGGTGAGGCAATATAAGAAATAAGCTTCGCTAATAATTAGTAATCATTAATTTTTTTAATATCGGAGTTGTGGAGTTTGCGGATTTTGCCTACCTATTTTATAGAACATTCATCACGTAATAGTAAAAGTGAAATCTACGTTAAGCCGCTTGAAGTTGATTCTTCGGTTAACGTCAACTTTTGAGCTCGGACAGAGGGTGGGGGTATAACAAATTAAACAAATTAAACAAGGCCAATCACAAGACGATTACTGGATGAGATATGATTGGATAACAATATTACAATATTGTGATTGGCTTGTTCGTTTTTGAGGGGATGGCCAGGAGGAGGGGGGGGTTACGTTAACCGAAGAATCAACTTCAAATGGCCTTAACACGACGCCCTGACGATCAAAGCGGATTTTACTAGGATCCTTTTACTAGAATTTAACACAGGTTGCACCCTAATCTATTACAAGCTCTTTTTTAGATTTTATGCGCAGATTATCCTACGTGATTTTTGTAGTGGATTTACACCCTATAGTATTGTAGGTTTTCTAATAACTAAAGAACCAAACCTTTATGATAGCGATAGTCAACATATTTTAAAACTATGTGCTAACCAAAAATAAGAAATAGACGAACAAAAAAATTCGTACTGTATAAAATACTTATCATTAAGATGTTCAAAAATTTCTTGATATCTACATATAATAGGGTCTGTAAAGTGATGGCATATTTCTATTTATAAACGCACATTTCTATCTAATTCGCGTAATTTATCGCATAATTTCGCATAAATGAACATTACTGTGCGGACACTGCACAATTTGGAAACTTTTCTGTGAGGCAAATAAAGAAAAATATTTACAAGTGTGCGCACTACTTACAAATGTTAATTTTTTCTGTGCGGCATCCGCACATCTGTTCAAAAGAAAATGTGCGCAAAGTTTGTTTCTGTGTGCAGCGCACAGTCCGCACAGCGAAAAATAATCACTGGTAACGCATCCGGATTTTGGGGTCAATTGTCGCAGAAAATGAGAAGCCCTACTCTAGACGGCACTAACGTAGGTTGATATCAAAACTTATCAATTCGGTCATTTTTCAAGTGTTTCAGAATTTATAGAAACTACTGTAATGCAGATCTATTTATATAAGATAATAGTCAATATTCATATTACATGTTTGTAGCGTTTATTCAATACCTATAGCCCATCGTACGATGACGGGCTCTAACGCTAGTAATATTAAAAAAAATTTGGATAGTTTCACAAAATTCGGACATTGCATACGTATTCGTGTTAGTGCGGATAAAGTTTTCACGAAAAATGTATCCCGTGCCGAAATTTATCCGAATCTTGAAAAAACAACTTGATTTCCATCAGCGAAGACCCAATGTAGGCAGTGTTTTGGCTGCTTTCATATTTTTCAGTAGTCGAATCGATAAGTTATCGAGTCAGAATCAATAAGTTACTGATGTTAGCTGATGTCAAAAACTTAACATTTCTCAAGTGTCACAGAATTTATAGTAATACATATCTAACAATTTCGTACGGATGGTATCTTAAAATTATACAAATACTTAGTGCTTGTTTTTTTTAATATTTTATAGTAGACATCCAAACAGCGTTAATTTTTCAGTTAAAATTTACTGTGCAGATACCGCACAATTTAGAAACTTTTCTGTGCGGCAATCAAAAAAAAAACTATAAGCAACTATTTACAAGTGTGCGCACTACTTACAAAATGTTAATTTTTTCTGTGCTGCATCCGCACATCTGTTCAAAAGAAAATGTGCGCAACATTTTGTTTCTGTGTGTTGCGCACAGTCCGCACAGCGAAAAATAATCACTGCATCAAAAAATATTTTCACTAGACTAAAATATTTTCGCCATACTAAAATATTTATATTTGATTCAGTGGAAAATAATTTCGCCAATTTAAATTACGCCAACCATATATAATAATTGCTTACGAAGATAAAATAAATTTGGGATTATTATGAAATGAAATCAGGGAAATAATTGAAACCATATATAATAAGTGCCTACGGGCTTGTTTGAGACAAAATAAATTTGTAAACAGGTTATTTCAAACAAAATACGTCAACTATTTAACTAAACTAGATTCCCACACTTTTAACTCCATTAATAAGATTTTATTATCATATAAAAATGAAAGAAATTTATTTGCCAATATTATTTATTTTCATATTACAAATTTCTTCTACGGTTCATGCTCAGAATCACCCGTTGGCGAAATTGTGGAATATAACAGATGATCAAGTACTTCCGTACTTAAAAAGAGAAGACGAATTAATCAAAAGAGAAAGAATCATAAAACCACTAATAAATGAAGCATCATTTGGTGGAATTTATGTAGATGTTAAAAAGAATAAGTTACTTGTCTATATAAAAGATCCTACTATAGAAAACTTACCTGCACTGGTCCACATAGAAATTTTCTGACATTTCATAGGGTGAATAAATCCCTAGATGAATTGAAAACTGAATATAAGAATTTTGTTAATGCAGCAAACCTATTTTCGTCAGGAGACCATTATGTTTATATTGATATAAGAAATAATGAAGTCTTTCGAGGTCCACCTAACAAAACAACAAATGTCAAACATCCTGGTCCAAGTGAGGAACTACATAAACGACAAAAGAAACCACAAATAAATGAACTAGTCTTAGCTGATGATGGCATTACGAATTTAATAACTGATAATACAAAACAAAATGGAAATAAACAAACAAAAAGAACATGTTCGGTTGGTTTTTTGCACGTTCCCACAAAAGAACTATTAAAAAGACGCCCATATTTTATATCATAACCGAAAGAAATTATTGCTATGAAACAAATGACACTGTCATTGCAAATCGATTTCTTTCACAGCCGTGGAATTCAGAACATACTCGTCTCAGCAACTTGAAAGTTGCGGGTAACATGCATACCCAGAATTTTACAATGCAATACAATTTTGGTGAACTCAAGTGGACATCTACCTCACTTACTATATCACCAGATATAAGAAATTCAGATGATCAAAATTATCAAGAATTAATTATACATGGTACTAGAAAAGAAAGTGAAACTATCCCTGAAGGTCGCATATGCCATTCAGGGTTTGGTACGCATGTTACTTGTGGAAATATAAAAGCTTTTACTGGATTTTATTTAGATAAAAATAAAATTACAGATATGCGAACCGCTATAGAAGATTTAGGTGGTCCTGTATTTCTTTATACTCCAAAGAAATTGATCTATTTGGCATACAAGTTACTTCAAGTCCCAAACTTACTGCTGTTCTATCATATGAAATTATTCTTTATATAACTGGATATACTCTTTATGATGGAAATAATGATTAAGGATAATGAATAAACTTTTTCCTTGTTTGTTTTTGATTTATTAATATTTATTTTAAGAGTACTATGTAATTACTTGTGTTTTTTGTTATGATCAAAAAGTTATTGTGACAGATTAAAATGAAATCAGATTAAATGAAAATTTTCTATTTTTTAAGAAAAATTTGAAATTTTTTAGGGGATATTTTTAGGTTTTTTAGCATTATGGTTAGGGTTTAGAGTTAGAGTTATTAATAAAGGAGTATATGTGAATTTTATAGGCTTTAAAGGTGAGCAAGATAAGTTTCTTGTTTTATTTTAATCTGATTTTATTTTAATTTGCAACAGTTATTAAGATAGTTATTTTTATAATAGTAAAGAGTTAGTGCTTTAATAGTTATATAAAATATCAGTTTACTATATTATCCAAATATTGATATATTTCAATTTGTAGCTTACTTTATTATTACTTTATATTTAAAGTTTGGATAGAAATTACAATGACAATTTGGCTACTATACTGCAATTTATTAACTATAATACTTTAATTATTAAAATATCTAATTAATCTATATATAGCCAATTTTTTGCATACTAAAATTCTATTCTATATATTAATTGTTTAAAAAATTCAATTTAAAAGGTTTATTACATTTAAACCAAATTTATTAACAAAAATTATAAATATTTAAAACTTTGTATTTAGTTTATATAAGTTAAATATTTAGTTTATCTATATTTACTTTAAAAAGTTGACTATATTTTTAAAATTTTTTTTTTGATATTAAGATGACCTCTTAGTCACTTTTCTTTTATTTGGCTATTATTAACTTTTACTGTATAGTATACACCATACTGTATATATATTTGGAGAGTACAACTAGCCACATATGCAACTTTTGGTTGCCTATTTAAGTAGTTCCCTATTACTAAGTCCTACACTACCTATAACCCTATCAAGTTATCCATTTAAACCCTCTGCATCTATGAACATTAACTTCTAACTAAGTGAGAATACTTAGTACCTCCTTATTTTCAGATACCTAACTTAGGATTTTAAGACAGACTCTTTTTCAAATCCTTTATCTTTGAGGTAAACCTGCTAGAGCCTTTCATACCCACAATCCAGCCAACCTAGCCTTCAGTAACTTATGCTGAGTCTGAGGACAAGTACTTGCAAGCCGAAGTCACTACTGTTACCTACTTCAGCTCTTGTAAGGTTTACCCAAACCCCAGTACACACTTTATGGACTAGCACCTGATTATCTTTCACCAACGGCGTTTCAAACTCCTAATTCAAATAGCCTGGGGAGAGATCAGTGGGCGTCTTCTTGATATTTCGATTGAATCCTTTTTCCTTGTTTATACAGGGCCACCTCTGTATATATGCAGCCTGGTTGGTATTAGTGTCTTGCCAAACACCCGGTCCTCGTTCGGTTTACTATTAGTGTCTGATTACCAATGATCACACTTTATGTAGTACTGTTAAAAATCTGTGCTATCTCTCTACTCAGGACTTGCCAAGCAGGATCTCGTGTGCTCCAGCCCTTGGATTTACACAAATATTTCACTTGGGTTTTATATAACTCTTGCATCACACTATAGTTCCACATACTTCTAGTACAAGCTGGTATAACTAAAGCTACAGATCTGATAATCTATCAGATTACGCATAGTTTACTATAACACATTCTGACAAGGGTGGTGAAACCATCTGTTGATACCGGGGCTCAAATCCTCAGAAAGTTGAGGATCCTGGTGGAGGAAAATATCAACTTAGGTGGGTCACTTCTGGGTCATACTCTAGCACTTAATT